GGTGTGCTGATTTTGATTCATTCAGCTGACGCGTGCATCTTAGTTGTGGCGTGTTACAAAAACTAAAATTGAGTGGACGTTTCTGTGGACCTTGTGCGTTGCCATGGTAACTGATATGACGTCACAAGTACCCTCAAAGTATAGCCCAGCAATAGAGTTGCAAGGAGACATATAGTTTGCCCACCCCATTAAATATCCTTCTTTGTAATCTTCCATCGTTTCACAAACACTGCAACAACGAAAAACCCTTTCGAGCCTCCCTAAGTCAAGAGTAATGGTGCCGTAACCCAGCTGTCAGTAAAGATAAGTGAAATAATTTTGTTGCTCCACAATTTTCCGTCATGGAAAAAAGCAGCAACAACTAAAACTTCATTAACAACCATCGCTGAAAATCTTCAGCCAACAGGCTAACCTACACATATTTGAACGACTTTGAAGTTTACGATTTTACCTACAAAACCGAAATTCAACAAAATCCTTATTCTCGCGCACTCATTCGATTCAGAGTTCAAATCGTTGCCTGGTTACAAAGACGTCATTCTGACGTGTACCTAACGAACATGAGAAGTGATGACGAGAACAAAGAGCGCCTATTCGTCATCATTTTTCGTTGGTCTTCTTGGGAGGGGTCGTTACTTCTTCTACGAGAAAACTTTGTGAAATTCTCCACCGCTTTCAAAGCAAGAAGTCATAAAAACATTTATCCACAATGGTAAGTTAAATTCCTCTGTAGCAGACATGTCATTGAAGTGGAAATGGTGTCAATTTCAGACGAGGAAAATAATCTGTGATTGATCACGAAACGAGTTTATATACGCTACTTTTCAGCAGTAGCCGCGTTCAAATTCAAAGGATTTTAAAATTAGTCCTAGACACTTAATTTTCATAAGTTTTATTTCTTCTTTAATCTTAGTGATTCGTTTAGTTTTCTTCATCATTTGTTTCTCGGTTGTGTTAGTAATCGTTTGTAAAGAAATAGCCCATTGTCCGACCGCGCGATCTCATTTTACGATCTGTAAGTTAGGGAGAGGTTTTGATGCTTTTTGTGTGACTCCTTTTTCATTTCTTCGCAGCGTGAGTGTATCTCAGTTCACGTTGGACAGGCAGGAGTGCAGATTGGTAATGCTTGTTGGGAATTGTACTGCTTGGAGCATGGGATTCAGCCTGATGGCCAAATGCCGAGCGACAAGACCATTGGAGGCGGCGATGATTCTTTCAATACTTTCTTCAGCGAAACTGGAGCTGGAAAGCACGTTCCTCGCGCTGTCTTCGTCGATTTGGAACCAACGGTAGTCGGTATGTCCAGAGATAAACCAACTTTGAAATTTTTCATTCACAATTTCATCGACAGAGTCATTAGTTTTCCTAAAAGTCGTC